TTTGGAAGTAGAGCTTACAGGAGGTAATTAGATCAGTGAGGTGACCCGCCATGGAGTGAGTATCTAGGTCACCTCAGGGATGAGATTAATGTACTCATAGGGAATCCCTGCAATCTCAGCTACTCAGCAGGCTGAGGCAGGAAGACAGCAAGTGTAAGCCCAGTGAGCTTCTGCCTCAAAATTGTAAAAAAGGTTAGGGATGTCAGCCAGTGACACAGTACCCCTGGGTTCAATCCTCAGTACCATGAAGCAGAAAGAAGACAGGATCAAGATCAAGATCATGATCAAGAATAATAACTTTTTCTGCTAGGGCAAAATTCAAGTTTGCCTTTTTCTGCTAGGGCAAAATTCAAGTTTGCCTATAGGCAGTAGGGGTCGGGGCTGCAAATTAGATCATTAATCTGAATATTCACTATGGCTTAGGAAAACAACACACTTTACAAAGAGGCACTCTGGCTGGCTGGGGATAGAGCTCAAAGGCACAAGCGCCTGCCTGGCAAGTGCAAGGTCCTGAGTTCAATTCCCGGTCCCAAAGAAGTGGGAAGGAGAGGAGAAAGAGAAGGAGCAGGGGGACAGACTCGTGTGTAGACACCAGAAAAAGCAGGCAATCTGCAGTACAGAAAGGGCCCTCAGCACCTGATTGGCCCCTGACCTCTGACTTCCAGCTCCAGACTACCAGAAACAAATGTCTATAGTTAGTAAGCCATGCAACATATACTTTCTCACAGCAGTTTGAGCTAAGACAAGTATAACGGGTATTCACCTCCGTTTACTAACACAGTTGTTCAAAGCAGCAGCAGGCTATCTGGATCCTCAAAGCTCAGGCCCCCATTTCCTTTAAGTCTTGGTCTACATGCCAACTTCTCCACAAGGCCAAGGCTGACCAATGAACACTGCAATACCCTCTCCACCCACCCTCCCCACTCCCTTCAGCTGCCAGTTTTCTTTATGCAGACATCTTAGCCCCTCATAATAAACCTTATGGTTTACTGAATTACTCAGTGTGCTAGCAGCCTATTTCCTTTTCTTCACAGCAACACACACGGACATAAAACTGACAGGGACGGGATCTTTATTTACTGATTTATCAAAAGCAACCAGACACCATGGCACATCGTGGAACGCAAAACGTCAGCAGATGCTAGTTCATGAACGAACCGATGACTGCATTACACAGCACTGACTCAAAGCTCTAGCTCATCCCCTACTCGCTACAGGACTCTGGGGAAATTCTCATCCTCTGGTCCTCAGTTTCCTTAACAGTAAAATAGGGCACGCATGAGTCCCCGCTCCACAGGATCATCTTGAGAATGCCGTGATACAGTGCATGTTAGGCGCTTAGACTCATGCCCTGGACATGGCAAACATTCAATAAGTGTTAGTTGTCATCATCATTATTATTTCAAGATAGGTTTCCCAAAGTGGTGATGGACTTGTGAAGATTTACACTCTCTGGGCAACTAGCTCTCTTCATCTGACAGCAGCAGTCTGCGATGGCAAAAAGGCTCTGGATAGAGCAAAGGGTTCCAGGGATGAAACCCCACCACTGCGGCCTTTCCAGCTCCAGTTCAACAATACCCAGGGCTTTGCAAAGGAGCTGTTAACAGTGCAAGCGCTACTGCCTCTGACCTGCCGAAGTAGAGTAAACATAACAGTGAAACCACGCAGTAAGTGATGGTGAGGCTCAGACACCTTAAAAGGCAGGGAAAGCAGCTCCCTTCTTCCCTACTTGAGCTGAGATTTGTTTATTTGGCTTAACTGGAGTCAAAGCTAATGGTTCTAATGGCTTTGAATCACCCAACTCTTTCTCTAGATTTCTACACGCTGGCTATAACTTGCAGTTTCTTAAGAGAAGATTTTTTAAAAATGGGCTTCCATAAAAGAATTTACCAGAACATACTAATCATTTAGACATCCGCTTATGTTTCTAGAAAGCTGAGGATCAAGAATGGTATGGTAACTTTTTCTGCTAGGGCAAAATTCAAGTTGGCCTACAGGCAGTAGGGGGTGGGGCTGCAAATTAGATCATTAATCTGAATATTCTCTACGGTTTGGAAAACAACACACTCTGCAAAGAGGCAGTTTGGCTGCGGATAGAGCTCAGAGGCACAAGCGCCTGCCTGGTAAGTGCAAGGTCCTGAGTTCAATTCCGGATACCAAAAACAAAAAAGAGGTACTCTGGGTTTGCATTTACACATACTTTGATCTCAGGAGAAAAGCAGGGATTTAAGGACCCACTGACTAGGGCATGTGAGAATATGTAAGGAAGATAGAGGTGAGAGGGAAAGAGGGTTGACAACAGGAGGAGGGGCATTTACTGATTTCTTAGCAGTCATAGCCTTAACTTCCTTATTAATTATCACATGTCTCCCTGAGGCTAATCTTCTCCGAAGTGGTCCATTAAAACATTATGAGAGTACAATGAAATAAATGACCACAGAGTCAAGGAAGAGATAATGACTAATCAGGCCACTATGGAAAACAAAGACCCAGGAGTAGGAGCTGGAATTAAATTCAGATCCTCAAACTGATGCTCCAGCTAGCCTCTTACGCAAAAAACATCTCAGAACTTTAGGGTGCATGTGATGAATAACTGGGGCATTTCAGATGGCATCCAAGATTTCCCTTTTGGACAGCCTCCCAGGCACCTCTGAGTTGGAAGCTTCTGCCCCATTGAATCTGCTAAGGTAAGGTAAACCTCCAGAATAACTTTTTTTTTAATGAAAAAAGTATTTTCCAAGAGCAGAGGAGTGTAAGATTACCAATGAAATACTGACATTCAAAAAGTTCTCCTAATTCAACAGTATCTGCATAGTTAGGAGGCACCTACAGGATGGTATCAACTGCTCTGAATTAGTAAAGGAGATTTCTGAGGCATACATAACCACCAATATTTTACAGTTGACTGGTCTCACTGCAGTCTACTGATATGCATTCATTGATCATTTCCCCCTTATCTCTGAAATACCAGGCCATGCCTAATTTGCACTAACTAGAAAATAACACTAATTAGTTAGAAAACTAACACTAGAAACTAACACTAATTCTAATTTTTTCTCCTAGGCTGTGATAGAGGAATCCTGACCCATTTGATAAGAGTCCATAAAAACTAAACTCAGTATATCTCTGTCCAAAACTTACAGTTTCTCCCCAAATTTTCCTATTGGTCTCCTTCAATCAGCTGAGCACAAGAGGGTTTCTTTTTCCTCCTATAAAAAGTCTACAGTGTATCTAAATCTGATCCCAGTAAAATCTGACTTCAGCTGAAGTGAAAATGCAGAGGTAGCATTTACTGTAACAGCTGGAGAACATTAGTTCCCTGTCTCTCCCCTTCTCTCCCAAGGGTTGAAAATTCTGCTGTTCAGACAGGAAGTCGTCATATACCACACACTGCACGATGCGAGAACGCTGGGGTGTAAGAACAAGTTGCAGAGGGTTTGGGAGTTCTGCGGAGGGGTTTTGCTGAGAACGAACAGGAGTGACTGTAGGTACTTCTCGGGCTGTTTAAGTGTCATAATGCACACATACGCAGAAGTGACAATCACACGGAACAATTACTGAAAGCTTCCTAGCTCATGTTAGAAAACTTAATCTTTCATTTCTCCACACATTTTAAAAACATTAACTTGAAGACATTTTGGGGAGTGGCCAAGATTCTCTAACAATCTTTTCTGGCATACTTTCACATTTGTTATCAAAAAATGACACCTCTAGCTTAAAAAAAAATAAAGCCGTCAAAATTATCTCACACATAACTGCCCAGGATAGAGGTGAAGATACACACCCACAGACAGAGATACACAGACACGCCTATGTACGCAAGGAATTTAAAACATGATGATCTGGAAAAGAAGGATTTAAACAAAAGGTTCGTGTGGATACGGCTTTTTGGGGTTGGTTTCTGCTGCAATTCCACAAAGCTGCTGAGACATGAACACAGACACAAACAAGGGAAAAGACCCCCACAGCCTGACCACAGCTCCAAGCTCTGGGCAGGAGATAAGAGTTTCCTGAACACCACATTCTAGAGAGCTGTTCTGCATTCCTGCAGTCTGCAGATCTGGCCCCTCCTTTGTAACCGCCCGTCCTCTGGGGCGCGTAGTAAAACCTACCCTTCCCTTCCAGTCCTCTCTAGGCACTTTCACTCCTTGCAAACCTTAACTTCTTCACCGCAGAAAGTAAAGCGCCTCTGCCCTGTGCGTACCGAGGGCACACTGTGAATCAACTGGGTTACAACACTACGGTTTTATGCAAAGAGGGGGGGGAGGGACGACGGAGACGCCAACCCACACATCCATCATCCTTTTAGAAGTAGGCGGAGTTTAAAGTTTCCCCAACTTCCAAGTTCCCACTTGACAGGCAATATTTCTATGCAATTTCCAGCCCCACGTAACAGATGGTCCTTTGCCCGTCTTGAGCCCCGAGAGAGCCCAAACAAAGCTCCTAGCCATTCCACGCCTCGCGGGACCTCTAGGTATTTATTTTCACGAAGCTGTCAGACCAGGGGCAGTCGGCAAAGGATGGAAGTTTAATTTCTCCTTCCCGGAGGAGTTTTTTCCTTTTCTTTCTTTTCACTCTTTCTTTCTTTTTTTTCTTCTTTTTTTCCTGCTACAGGAAAGTCCAGGGAAGTGGAGCACAAAGGCCTGGGAAAGTTTTACTGCGCGATTTTTACCAAACGTCCTCCACAATCTGCCAAACCACCATCCTACACCCCAGGTGTCCAGGGAAGGAAAGTTGAGGCTCACGTGCTTAGGAACAGCACAGCCGAACTCGAGCCGTCCCAAACACAGCCCGGGACGTTGCTTTCAGAGCCCACCCCTCCTCCCCCGTGGAAAAGCATCCTCCGGGCGCCGACCCACTCAGGAGTCGCTCCGGGCCACCGAAGACGGTGGCGGCCTAGACGGGGCGCCAAACGGGGTGCGCGAGGACCCTCCTTCGCGGCCGGGAGGGCCGAGGAAGGGGCGGGGCGCGATCCGGGGTCGGGGACGGCGGCCACTCACCCTCACTGCCGTACTGTTTGCCATTGTTCGCGCCCATCCTGCCGCCGTCATGCCCGCCGTCGCCCGGGACACCGCATAGCTGGGGCGCACCTCCCGCGCCGCTGGCCCGAGGAAAGCCCGCCCGAGGGGCCCGTTAGCTGCACATCGCCGGCGCTCGGGGCCGATCTGGCCCGGGGCGGCCCCGGCTCCGCGGTGGGAGGGGGCGCCGGGACCCTCCT